GGCCGTTTGCATGTGCTCCCTCATGCTCATGCCCATGCCCGTGCCCAGGACAACGAGGAGACGCAGTACAGCTTGGGCCTGGACTTGGTGGATTGGTCCTGAGCGGCCCCGATGTAGATGTTTTTACAAGTCATCCGCGAAGTTGCGTGTAGTTCAACAGCGGTCACAGACACCGCTAGTTCATCCGACACATGCCGAGCACATGGGCGGAAAAGCGCATGCCGATTTTTTCTCCGTCGACTGTAATGATTCCTGGAGGGAACGCAGTCCCCGTGGACCCGACATGACCTGACTGGCTGCGGTTCCTTGTTTTTCGACTGTCCACTGGACACTGTTTCAGGCGCATACACGCCAAAGCACCGCGAGTTGCGAGAGACATGTGCGAGGCCCTGCTAGTGCTCGGCTTTTTCAGAAGGTGTGGGGATTTTTCGCCGCGTCTGTCAGAGCCGAGCTTTGGGGGGAGTGCTTCTGTAGTTGATTTGGCTTATGCCGGTGCATGGGCTTCAAACAAACCCTTGCAGATGGTGGATGAGGCTGTGGAGGGTGCCTTGTGGAAGAACTTCGTTTTTCGCCCAGTAGGCTCGCAGGGCTGTAGAGCAGGTTTGTGGACAACGACATGCTGCCCTACGTAGATGTGCCGTGGTCTGCATGGTCAATGGTCATGTCACTGTCTGCAGACGGGTGAGCATTGGGTCTTTCGCCGGTTGGCAGAAGCTTCTGGACCTGGGCCCAGCTATACTACATGTGGGGTGCGCGTGGATGCCCTGGCGGTTGCGGTTTCACTTGAGAGTGCTTTTGCTGTTGCCTCAGTTGCGTGTATGCATATCTAAGGATTGGGAGGAGGCCGGAGGCTTTCCGAAAGATCTCCATCGACGTGCGTACCAGGTGCGAGGAATGGGCCAGAACGGCGAGCTTCGAGTTACTGGTAGAGTTGTATCGCGAAGCCCGCATGTCGTCAAAGACTTAGATGCAAAGAGAAAGAGCTCTCTGTACGGTACTATGTCCAATCTATGCAGTGATGCAAAAAGGGCGGACCGTTTCTTGCTTGATAGGCTGGTGTTTATGGTGCTTTCTGGCCCGAGAAGTGCCCACCCGCCTGCTCTGTGCAGGACTGATTACTTGTTGCTGCATGTCGCTTCTTGGAACTGCAGCTGTCGGATGATTGGCAGCAAGTCACCTTTGAGCTCGGAGGTACGGTGGTACCTTTCCAACTGCTGAGGAGGCAGACATGCAACTGGGCCAGACATTGTGTTTCTTGGAGGGCGTGGCAATGGACACAGCCGTGACCATTGTCCGAAACGTCAAAACTAGGTCACAGACTACAGAAGGGCTTCAGTCTCTGGACGTTTTGCGGCTTTGGCCTAGGTTTCATTACTTCATCTTCTACGACGAATTAGCGCGCCCATGCGCCAGTGGTGTTGAGCCCAGCCCGCCGTAGTTGTAGTCGTGCTTCTCTACTTGGGGGCCTTGGGGAAAATTGTCCGGGAGGAAGGCTTTTGATGGTTCCATGGGCTTCCACGCAGTCAGGCCTCTACGGCTCCCTGATGACACACAGCATCTCGCTGCCACCGCTGCTGGAGCCTTCGGTTCATGCGTGTCCAGAGATCGAGAACAGCCTTTCTTCGTGAGCAAGCTGTGCAGGAGCTGGGCTCCGAGAAGCAGAAGGAGGCGGGGGCCGGCGGGGGACATTGCACGATGCCGCACATCGTCAGAGAGGGCGTAGCAGGCCCTCCAAATAAGAGAAGATCACTGGCCAGGCTGTCGCCAGCCGCTTTGCCCAAGTTCAGTTGTGGTCTCATCCCCGGAGAGGGAGGTGGTTGCGAAGCTCAGCATGGAGGCACCGTTCTGACAGGCCCCTTCCTGCAAGCATCATTGCGAAGGTTTGCGGTTAAGGTTGCCCTGAGCTAGCAGCGCAAGAAGCCTTGGAGAGAATGAGGTGTTTCCTGTAGGCTTGCTTGCTTTAGTTGATTCAGTATATGGGGCGCAGACTCTGAGAATGCTTTGCGCCATGCATCTTCTGAGGACAAATCATCTCCGGTGAGAGCCCGGGTTGCACTGCGAATGCAGTTGGGGTTTGAATGGTTTTAGGTCGGGCATCTAGAGGTTCTCCAAGCGGCAATCATGGGCAGATGGCTGTTTCTACAATGGGGACCTGGATGCTTCCAGGAAGACCTGCTGCCTGGCCGTCACGGAGCCGGGTGGCGGCTCCGACGTGGCCAATGTACAGACCACAGCAGTGCCCTGGTGGAATTTAAGGGTTTGCTGTTGTCGAGAGCATGAAGCCTGTCACATGCCGGATGCATATCGGAAAAGCAGGTTCTCGACGCCAGTGGCACATACTATGCAGCTCAGATGAACATGTTGTGCTCAGCTCGGGGTTGCCCATCAATCCGCGTGTTACTGGCGCATCGCGTTGCCCACTTTTGTGGAAACTCGGATTTCTCGCCGGCTACCTGGCACATGCCAACCTATTCTCTGCAAGGTGGTCAACGGCCAAAAGACTTTCATCTCAGGGGGGATGCATGCCGACTACTTCACCACGGGGGTCCGCACCAGTGGAAAAACCGGCAACCAGGCGCCTTTGATAGCCGGGAGTTTTCGTTCTGTGCTGGCTTCGCGTGCGTCGTTACCTGATGCTGTTGTCTGGAGCACTGAACACCCCTTCTCTTTCAAGAGCCGACCTGGCAGGGCATCTCTGTCTTGCTGGTGCCACGGGCAAGTGCTGGTCTGAACACGACGCGCTTGAAGTCCTCCGGCCGCAAGTCCAGACTCGGAGTATGGGTGGAAGGCGGAGGTGTGTGTTTGGAGGGGCCGTTCCAAATTATGGGCATGCCGGATGAACAACGGCTCCGCAGGCCTGCAGCGCATTTTCTCATCGGCATAGCTTTCTGACATCAAAGCCATCGGAAGCCATCCACCTCCGCTCTGGGAGAAGTGCCTAATAAAGTGGTCCGGACATCTGTTTAGGGCTTCATCATGAGCCCACAAACTCTTGGCAGGACGCAGGGATGGCACCTCAGCTCCACGCCGCGCGGCTTCACTAGGGGTGAGCTCCTCCAGGTTGGTGTGTTATTCGTGGACGTTCAGTCGTGCAGAGGGCTTGCTTCTTGCTGCAAACACACGCACACATCAAGTTACGTGGAGCCCGAAGTGAGTTGGGCTGCGCTGTGACTTTAAAGCTTACCGAGGACCTTGGTGACGTTTGACGACGTGAAGGTTCCTGCAGAGAACTTGCTGGGGCGAGAAGGCGGAGTCGACTACTGTTTGCGTGAGCACGTGCTGAGGCCACTTGAGTTGAGTGTGATTCACTTGTTCGCCTGGTAGCCGCCCTTAGCCTGCACGATTTTACTTGGGACCTCGTTGGGTGCTGATGGCGATCTCTGCAGGTGACGGCTTTTTGGCAATCATGCGGAACTTCAACAATGAGAGGCCGGTGACTTCACGTTTGAGACCTTGAGCGCCAAAGTATGAGAGCAGGCTTGCCCTGGCGATCATCGCAAACCGGCAGGCTGACACTCCGGGTGTCATCAGTGGGTCTGCTTTTCTGTTTTTGGGGATGTGAAGGTTGCGCTCGTTTTCCCTCTATAGGGCCTGCCGTTCGGAGAGCGGACAAACGTTTCCCGGCGTGGTGCAGACTTTGTGCTGATGTCCAGGCCCGGGTCTGCCTGGAAGAGACGGCGACGGCCCCAAAAGAACACTGATGCCGGTGATGCTCTGTTTATCGCCGTGTGATGTCTAGGACTAGGACCTAGAAGCACTGTTGAGGTTTCACTTCGCCATAGAATCTGTAGAACAGCTTCAATCGACAGGATGGGTGCAGGCCCGAAGGCGGCACATGACGTCTGGGAGTTTCTGGGCCCAGGGTTGCGGAGTTCCGGAAGGTGGACAGAGATTTTGAGGGCCATGTGACGTAGCTGAGGTCAGATATGCACAGGACTCTTGGCAAAAGTGGTTGGTCTTTGCAAGTGCCATTGTTTCATGCTGCCGCAACTGCTTGCCGGGCCTATTGGGATTGTGAAAGTGGTTGTTTGTCTGTCTCAGTATGTTGCAGGCCTTCAACAAGCTATTGGCTTATGCCATGCAGCCCGCGAGAACTTGTGAATGAGGGGTATTCCCATCAACTTGAAAATGGTAGCACGGCTAAAGTTGTGTGATGGTGCCTTCCTTCTGTCAGATCCGGTGGCCTTTACGCCACTGAGGTGCGAAAGACCTTCGGCAAGCCGCTGTCCTCGCACCAGGCGTCAAGATTCCGGGTCGCACCCCCGCACTGTGTCTCGCGGGCAAGAGCACGGTCCAGGTCATCCGCCACAAGCTCATGGAATGCGGTCGCCCGGGTGCTCAGCTCGATGGAATCGGGCAGCTGGCCGGATTTGTGACTGTGGCAGTGTGAGAAACGGCAGCTGCGGACGCCAGTCGCTAGGGAGGGCCTTTCAATCAAATCATGTTTCCACGTCAGCGATCCCTCGAGAAACCATGAGCATCCTTGGCTCTGCACGAGTGCGTGCCCGGAATCGACACGTTGCATTACCCCGCAAAGGCCATATCATGGCCACCAACGGCATGATCCTTTCCATCTGTGCCGCTTGGTCGTTGCACGGTGGGGTCTGCCAGGGAGTATTTGCCTGTTGCCGCCATGAAATACGCAAGTCCCACAAGGCGCAGAAAGCCAGGCCCGCAGATTCCTCGGAGCAGCTTGCAGGCGCCATCGCCTTGGCGAAGGCAGGCGTGGAAAAGGGGATTTGCAGCATGGTGTGCATGCCAAGAGTGCTTGGTCTTGAAGCGGAGTCGAGTCGGTGGCCCCTAGGGAGTTGTGTCTCTGGCCTTTCTATGCCCGGAGCTACTTTTCACCATAGCCCACAGCATCCACAGCTCACACCACGTGTCAGTCTTTTCTCGTTTCAATGGTTTCCCAGAGCTTCAAATGACACGTGGTTTGCAGGACAAGTGTTGGTTGCTTCCTCAAGTTTCCCCTCGTGTGTGGTTGTCATTGTCACTACGATTTACGGGCAGCAAACTGTTTCTCACAGTTCGTGGCGATGTTGTCGTCAGGTCACGGTTCGTTGCAGTTTCTACATGTTTCCATGCTTTCTTCTGTTTTTGACATTTCTTTACTGTGCTGTTCTCATGAGCTGGGAACGTGTTTAGCTTGAGTGCAGCCTACATTATTGATTTTTCGACCGTCGGAGGTTCAGGCGACGAAGAGCTTCGAGTTCGTGGCCCGTGAGTGCTCGCAGGCAGAAGTCTCAAAGTTAGCTGTTGTATCTGTATCTGAATGTGCATGCGGCATGTGTATGTGTATGTGCCTATGTGTGTGTGTGAAGATAGAGATGTCGAAAGCGATGTGCGCCGCCTAACAGCAACCTGTAGCAGCCCTCTGTCATTTGGTCAGGTCTTCGGGGGCAAGTCTTACCTTCGGCGCCTCGGAGAAAGAGCGTCGTTCAGTGCAGCTAGCAGCTAGCAAGCCTTGGCGCCTTCCTGGAACCAGGGCCTGCCAGGGCCGCCCCTTTTTTGAGGTCTGGGCCCGGCCGTGTCGTGGAGCGCGCCTACCGGGAGGCTCGGCAGCCACGGTTTGTGGCATCCTCCCGGGTACTCTGTACTCCTTTTTTTGGGGCTCTTTCATATCCTACGAGGCTTTTGAGGGACGCGTAGTGTACCGCAAAATCCAAAACCAAGCACCAGACCGGTTTTTTTGGGACTGCAGCCGGTCGCGTTGGACTCCCGGAGACATAGGGTTGCATTGCAAAGAAGAGGAACATGCGCAATAGTAACAATAATTTGGTTGACAGGACAATTGACTGAAGCAGTGCCATGGCTTCATTAGCAGCTCGTTTTTGCCTGAAATGCTGTAATCATACACCGTAATGTACAGTATTCGCGCGCAAACTTGCAACAGCCTGAAATGCTGTAATCATATGCTGTGATAAATTATCTACACGAGAATGTGCATGAAAACCTCGAAATTTGTCCATCCGCAAACTTGGAACAAGAGAAGCAGCGAGCCCAACGTTCTGATGGAGCGAAAAACGTGAGTAAGGCCTATGGCCTCGAAGTCTCGACATAGGAACCTGTTCCGGAGGTACGTGTCCTGGCGATGGGAGGCGGCTCTGAGGACCACGGTGAGCATTCCAGCAGACAGCGGATTTTGAGCGAAACGCAAAAAAAGCGCACACTCTTGGGAAAGCAAGCAGAGCGGCAGACAGAACCTAACTAGGGCCTAGCGAGTGTGGACCGAAGTCCTGGACCAGAGCATTGGCGATTGGAGGAGCAGAACAGCTCCCAACTTCGTTGTTCATGATAGCAGGAGATCATGCTCGACCTCGCCTCGCGCCAAGCAAGGCTACTGTCAGCAATGAGGTGCCCATTAGATCGAAATCCTTGCCCAAGATGGACATGCTCCTTATCACCCTTCAATTCCTCCACCTCGCCTGCAAGTACCATTTTGCCAGATTGCTGGGGCAGCGGTGCTTTGTTGTGACAGCAGCCAAATACCGGGAACCAATGTGGCGAAAAGATGTCACCATGCAACACCATGCATCCAAGGCTTTGACTGCGTCTTCTGCCCTGGTGACCTCTGGACGTGCTGGGGTCTTGGTGACTGTGAGAGTGGGCCTATTCTTTGCAGAACCCGATGGTGCTCCTGCGAGCATCAAGTGCAGGGAAGCTTGCAGATTTCTCCAGTCTCCACACGCCTCATGGCTGAGCTTCCGTGAAGTTGCACGTGGAATTTGACATGCTTACCATACTGCTCTGCCTAAACATGTTTGTCTATCACTGTCGCGATTTCATGAAAGATTTTCATGCCATGGACAATCCGTCTCTGGTGCTCAACATACCCTGAAGGGAGGCATATCGTGCCACAGCGCGGGCCGGAATCAGCTCAGGTCTGCGCTGACAGCTGCTTGCAGACTTGAGGCAAAGCGCGGAGTCAGGTGAAGGCAGAGCTTCCCAGCAGGCTCGTCGCTTAGCCATTTCACCGAGAATCGCTACGCCTTTCGCTTGGGAAGGCGGCCTTCAGCAAGGGAACGGGCCGCGCTGAGTGGGGCCAGAGCAACCCCATTGCATGCACGGCTGCACGAGTGCCTTGCAGTGACACCGCAGACCTCTCGTTGGAGCAGTTGGACCGCAAGGAAAGGCTGCGGCCATGTCCAATGTGTTGGTAGGATGGGAGGCCGTCAAGGATGTCTCGTTGGAACGACATCAGTTTCAGCTGCGGGTGCAACGACTGATTCATTTTCATCTTTCGGCTCTGTGGGTTGTGTTTCAAACACACATTGAAGAAGGGAGTTCCTTGCATCTGTCGCACAAGGATTTCTGCTCCATGGATTTGTGGCAACAGCGCAACACAACTAGTCGACTGATGACATCTCCGTGCCGCTAGTTGGCCGTCGTCAGATGGAATGGCTACTGCGAGTGTGCGTCGGGCCGGAGCGCCTGTACACGATAACAGACTTCACCTCTTTGGCCTAGTCCAGGTTGTAGCGAGAGTGCTAGCTAGCCGTAGGGACAGACAAATGATGGTATCAATGCGCTGTTTTGTGCAATGGTCGCTGTGTCCGTTTCCTTGCTGAGTGGTGTGCCTCTGCTGCAGATGAGGCCTCGGGTCGTTGGTAACTCGGAGATTGGGGCCCTCGGAAGCTAAAGGCACCAGGACGAGAATGAAACAAGCGTTTTGTAAAGCAAAAGTATTGTCGGAACCGTGACCTTCGGAAGCACTAGGAAAGCCTTTTCGAAGTGTGCGCGGCCGTCGAGTTTGGATACAGTATCATGTTCAGGTGATGGGGCTTAGGGACAATGCGGCCGAATTGAGTGCAATGTGGAGTAGCTGAGGGTATCGAGCAAGCTCTCAGGCATGCTTGACAGTGGAGCTAACCTCTCCAGTTGTGGCACGGCTGCGTGAAGAGGCCATGGGCATGATGGGAATTGGGCGCTTTTCCATGACAGTCGTCCGCCAGAAGTTTCGGCCGATTCTGTTGGTGTAGTACCACGCACTACCTCGTCATGAAATGGGCAGAACTTGCTTGGGCAACAATGCTCCCGGCCTTCACGAGGTCGCCAGAGAGCTGGATGTCCTGGCATGCCAGATCCGTCTGACTCGAGCAGGGCCGCTTTGACTTGGGTTCTCAGTTTGTTACGGGGGAGTTGAATTTCAACCATTGCTAATGAACTACGGTAATGAACTTGGCACCTTTGCAAGAAGAACTTGCAATGGTTCGTGATCAGAAATCGAGATGTCGGAGGAGTGTAAGCTTGTCCTGAATTCTCAGCAGTTCCTTGCACAGGGCCGAGCTTGCTGACGACGCAGTTGTGGCAGCAGAAGGCGCTTCATTGGCTTCCACTCGGCTGGGCATACGGCGATGTACATAGGGCGGTTGGAGTGGTGGAGGCAGCTGGACGCAGCAAGCGAAGCTCCCTGTGCAAGAGTTGGACTGCGCGCCAGGTGCTGCAGAGGTCGCTGATGTTGAGGTCAGGCAGCATTCTGCAATTCTTGCAATTCTCCCATGTGAAAATTTGCCTCACCTCTTCTTGTACATGTTAGATTGCCGTTGGGTACACGCAAATTAGAGTTCATCAGTGTAATGCCTTTCTCGTAACGACTTGTTTCTTGTTCAAGGCCATGATTGTGCCGATTCTTGACTTCCCCTGCTACGAACCTGTGGCAGCAGCTTTCATGAGCATGTCTGGGCCACCCAATACATTGCATCCGCAGCCTGTAGTGCTTGCATTGTTGAAAATGCTGTTGAATCGCGGAACGTGTTCAAGAATTTCAGGAGCCGGTTACGAACTCTGCTTACCCGCTCGCCATGCGCTTCTAGCCTGTCTAGTCTGAGATGTGCACTAAGGATCGATACCCCGGAGCTGAAACGTATGTGGCCTGCGCTGATGTCACTCGGCGCTGTGGAATACGATTTATTGCAGGAGTTCTTTCGACAGATGCAGAGACTCGTGCGCGAGGCAGCTGACGTCGAAACCCGAAGTCCGAACCCTGGCTTCTTCAAAACACGCGCGGGAGCCTGCCAGCTCAGCAAGGCTTCTGCCGTCCCTACTTTCCCCTGTCGCGAAGATGAGCGATGCCTGCCCGAAGCTGGCCTCAGATGCTCAGTTCCGGGCCTTCAGCTGTTCAGGGTGGTTTTGCTTGGCGCCCAGTGTAGCTATATGTCTGCCTTCGGATCCTTGTGTTCGATGTCCAAAGAGGTTTGCAAAGACTCGTGCAAACCGTCGACACAGAGGGCGGGGCCCGACTTCGCAGCCGTGTCGCTCAAGAGCTCTCTGGGGGGGGAGCCGAGGAGCCTTGGCCGGGAAGATGAGAGATTCGCAGTGCAGTCCACGAAGCGGTCTGACAAGGGTGCAGGGAGGTGAAGTGCTTTTTCGCGGGACCAGCCTTCTGTCAAAGCCCTTCAGACCAGCCATCTGTCAAGGGAGTCGAGGTAACCAATGGCTCCGGTGATCGAGTCAGCGGGCGCGCGCCTGCTGATTGTTCTGCAGCTCGGCGATATTGGCAGAGTGATGAAGCGGCTGCCACGATGATCAAACTGTGCCTTTCGGACCGCAAGAAGAAGACGCTGCTGGACCCAGGTGTGTGGTGATCTGCACCGTGCTGCTGAGCAACCAATACCTGGACCGGGGCTTAGGTTCAACAAAAGAGAGTTTGCTCTAGCATGTTTTAGCTGTCACTACCGGAGCTTGCCAGTCTTTTCCGACACCCCCAACAACAAACACTCTCGCAGTGCGTTGACGAAAGTGCCGATGTGTATTTCCTGCTTGGCTCGTGGGAGTGTTCATGTGTTGCACGCTGTCGCTGTACAAGCAGCCCAGGTATCGCGAGAAACTACCCCAAGCTGGGATTTTGTAAACAAGACTCATGCTTCCAATCTGCTCTTAGTTTCGAAGCTACAGACGGTTGCAAAAATGCAAATGACACTGCAATAGCATATGTGCTGTTTGAACGAGTTTTAATGTGCCACATTGATGGTTGTGGTTGTTTTTGTTGGCTCGGACGCCGTGTAAACGTGCAAAGCCGACATGCCGATTCCGTCGGTATTTACAGTGTTTCTTCTGCTTAATGTGCCGACGATATCGGTGCCGTCGGTGTTCCCAGCACCTGCAAATTCGCACTTTTTTCACCTCCCGAAGCCCTCGGTGTTTCCGGTGTTTTCGCGAAATCATCGGTATTTACAGTGCTTCCTGTTCCCCCCATGAGCTGACATGCCTTTCGTGCCACGCAGGCCACGTAAAACGTACGTTGCTGTACATGGGCCGTGCGCGTGTTTACATAGCGGCCGAGCGTTGTTGCTGTTGTCGTTGCTGCTGCTGCTGCTGCTGCTGCTGCTGCTGCTATCACTGTTGTTGTCTCGTTCCTTTCGTGCCTCTGTATTTTCAGCCGTTCCTGCTCATGGGCCATGTTCTTTGCTTTCAAGCTAGAACAGCTGCCTGCCATCAGGAGGAGCTGCTACCACAGGTGAAGGTCTCCGTCCTTTGGCCGAAATAGATTGGAGGTCTCTGGCATTTAGACGGCTGGACTCCGATTTGGGTGGGCCAGAATGGGGAATGCCCATCCACAATTCCAAGGCATGCTTAAATCGATAGAGAGATGTGTGGCTTCGACACCTGAAGTCAAAGGGAAAGACTTAAGAATACAAGTGAAGTGCACCTACAACAGCGCCGGACCTAGGCGGAAGTCGCATGGGGCTTGGTCTCCAAGGGTACCCTGGCTTTCCCACCGTGGCACCTTGAAGCGTGCTGCTTCTGCGGTTCTTTGCTGGTGCTTGTCGCGGACCTGGTCGTGCTTGCACGCGCTTTTTATGAGTTACTGGCAGGATGAACTTGCTGTTGGAGGTCCATGGAGGTCCACGACATTAACTCATCGAGTTGCGGTAAGATTTCCCCTTTGCCTCTCAGGATATGGTTTGCTCTACGTCATGGTCTTCGCGTCGTTCCACAACCAGGCCGGTCAATCCAACGATGCTCTTCGTGTAGATAACATGCTCGTTTGGGTGCCCCTGTCCCAAGCCTTTGACAAGCCTTGATCTGTGAGAGGTCGTGCCTCTTTGCGGAAAGATGCTTGGCTCATGTCGGAGGTTAAGGTGTTTTCCACCGGGGTTTCCTGCAATCGAGGTTGCCTTTTGCCGCGAAGCCCAAAACTCCCGCATTGAAGCAAGAAACTTGTTTGTATTGGTTTGTATAGCAGCATAGCCGGCCTTGTCAGCTCCGCCAAATTGAGCGGTGACTGTAACTGCCTGTAACGATTCTACGAATCATTGCCAGGCACAGGCCCCCTCGGCAACATGCCATCGGCTTTCACCGCGTCCTGAGCTGGGTTACGGGTTGCAGGTGGCCACTTACTTACCCAGCAAGCTGTGTATATGTTTAAAGACCCCATCTCCTAGCGGATCACAGGCAAGTCTCATGCTTGGACCACATACCAGAGATCTTCAGTGTTCTGCCAGGAAAGGAGTTTCCCCAGTGTCCGACCTTCTCTCGCGGGCGAGCAAGGTTTGCGACTGCGATTCTGAGTTTCACTCTTTAGATGTGGAGGTGATGGCTGCGGCCTTTCACATCAAAATCGCCCATGGTTACTCAAAGCCTCTCTTGTGATGGATCTCATAGCCTGCCGAAGCAGGACTTTCCTGGATACCGGAAGGTCCTGTACTTTCCGCCCCTCGGAGCACTGGTTCTGGAACTTTTTTCCATGATCATGACTGTATTGCTGGAGAGATCTGGAGAACACATGGTAGAAGCCACGTGGCTTTCCTTTCTGAAGTGCTCGGAAGCTAGCCTGTGTTCAATTTGGAGGGCATGTCCGAGGACGCTTCTTTGGCTTGATGATAGCGATGCCATGCTCGTGGCTTTGAACGGTGTCGGTGCGGCCCTGAGTGCGGAGGAATCGGGGTGAGACCTGTTCAGAGCATCCTCGGGCCTGACATGGGCTGTCAGAGATACCAGTATTGACGGGACTTTTGGCCATCAAGGATTTTTTGGATTCGTGTCTCAGACTCCTGACAAAAGGGACAGGGCGGACATGAGCAGAGTAGACGTCCAAGCCGTCTGTGACGGCACGTGTGCTCATGAAAGCCTGGTGAGTCGTGGGCTGTATTCTGAGGTCTGCTGGCCGGCCTTCTTGCCATTTGTGGCGGCTTGGCAGGCTCGGGCTGTGACAGCTCTAAATTACGTGACGGCAGGGAAAGCTGCAACTTGAAGCTGGGGGGGGGGGGCGCCTGATCGTAGGTAGACCACAGAACACCTCCTGCTGTGCTGCCGGCAAAGTCCACCCCCATGTTCTAATCACCGATCGAGTGCTCGCGCGCCGGGGTGTGTGTGTGTGTGTGTGCGTGCGGTTTCTGAGCATCCCGTCGAGGCTGGCTTGGCCTACTCGTCGCCCGAGTCTGCCTGCAGTCTCTGGCAGTTGCAGGACCCCACAACAACTTCAGGCAGTTAAGGCCAAGTCGCTTCACCAACTGGGCGTCACGAGGCTTTGCACATCCCATGTTCAATCGGAACATGCGGTCAGCAGCATCCTGCCGGCCTTTTTGCCTTCATTCAACGATGCCGTCGGCCTCCCACACCTGCTGCGGCGAAGGAGAGTTCTGGTACGTTTGGGATTACATGGTTCTCGAGGCTGCGGGTGTGCCCGGCGACTTTATGTTGTCACACGCCCAAAATCGGCTATTTCTAAACACGAAAACCTGGCCATGGTTTCGTCCTTGGTGCGTTAAACGTTGGCATATGTTGGCGCAGAGTAGACAGCAGTGTCAAGCCAAGCAACAAGCGGAAGCAGTGACGCGCTTTCCGTCTCTTGTGAAGGCGGGGGCCCTGGTCCTCCTGCTTCCGACTTCTGCACCGCTGCCGGCCCTTAGCCTGACATCGATGCCGCTGGGCTGCGACAATTCTGCCGCCGTTGCTTGACCTTTGCTATGTCTTCGGGTTGTGCGCTGAGCATGTTGCACCGAAAAATTCTAGGCTTGCTATGAGTCACGATGGACTATGAGGGCAATGCGTGGTCGCATGCAGATCTCAACGCTTTCCCCAAAAGGAGGAGTTGTCGTTTTGAGAGCACTCCTGTAGCAGCAGGGTGGCAAGCTCTGCGCAGAACTTCCGCGTTGGGCACTCTCCTCGTGACGAAAGCGTGTGGGATGCCAAGAATACCTCGTCAGAAACGGTGTTGAAATCTATCCAGATGTCGACGATCTATCAGAAATTCATAGACTTGACCCTTATGATGCAGCGATAACGAAGAATGTTTCTAAACTTTTTTGGAATCCAGGTCCCCCTTTGGGGTTTCGACTCTCAGACCAACCTCATGCACAGCTCTGAATCCGTGGAATTTGAACCTGCCACTAGTACTTACGTGAGAAGGTTGGGGAGGCGCGACGACAATGGGTCACATATGTCAGGGACAAAACATCTCAATTCCTTGAAGGCCACAGTGAGACAACCAGACTTGTACAGAATCCTCATGTCTGGAATCATGCGGTATGCCAGTTCACCTGTCCGCACGCCACCAGGCATATGACCGACTGACTGAGTGACTTTACAAGAAGAAGCAGCCGTAGCCATTGCCTTAGCCGTAGTCGGAGTCGTAGTCACGGTTGCGGTCGCAGACGCAGGCGGAGTCGCAGTCGCAATCGCGGAGGTGGTGCTGGTGGTGGTGGCAGCATTGGAACGGAAACAGACCAAGAATGCCTCAGCCAGAAGATGCAAGAAGAATTGTCAATGATTGGAATTACATCATGTTCAGGATTAGCCAGCTACAGAATTCGAATGGCAGCTAGTAGATCACGTGACGGCAACCCCAATTCTCTGACACGAGGCCAGCTCCGTGTGTGGCACTGGCCTGGCAGCTCCGCAGCGGCAGTACCGGTTGACAGTAGGCCTCCCTCGTACGGTGGCATCGGACGGGAAGGCCTGGGAGGAAGGTGTGGGCTGTGCGTCACGACCAGGACTAGGAGCCGCTACAGCCTTCTGTCGCAAGAGCACCCGGTGCATGCAACACTACCCCAATCACTTGCAAGACGCAGCCGAGATGCGCCTACTACCTACTGCAACAGCTTTTCACCAAGCCGGCGTCGTAGAAGAACCAGTGGCTCCCGCAGCCGACACGGGCGAGTAAACAGAAGCGAGCGGTCAGCTTAGCGTCGCAGGCGGGTCTTTCAGGGTCACAAGATGATTCTGAAGATCTGTGGCAAAGCGAAGGTGTAGAGTTGTGCTTCCAAGTTGCACTCCGGTCGCCACAAGGTTTCTGGCTATTCGCCTCATGAAGCTTGGCATAGTTTGAGCATTGGCATTGTGGTTTCGGTGTGTTCAGGAATGCTTACAGTACTCTTAGTAGACGTGCCTTCGCAGGCAAGTCCGAGTCTCGGATGTGCTTTACAACCAGGGCTAAGGCCAGTGTTTTGCCGTGATTATTGTGACAGCTGCCCACTACTTCTCAGATTACAAAAGCCTCAAACCAGCAAACCTGAAGCTCAGAAAGCCACAGATGCAGAGCCTGCCTGCAGGCCTGCTGAAAGTCCCACCCTCCTCGGGCTGCTACCAGGCTCGGTTTCGCGAAGACGAAGTTCGGTGGGGTTGCTCGGCACAGGACGCAAGCACCGCATCTCGGAGTCATTTCTTGCATGTTGAGTAAAGCCTAAACTTCTCAGATCCCTGCAGTGTGTGGTCCATACATGGGAATCAGGGATATTGACAGCCCTGATTGAGTTCTGTGATGAGTCTGTTTCATATTTCTTTCCAGAGCGGAATCACTCGAGGCTCGCGTTTTCGAGGACAACCTGTACCTTCAGGGATTTTTCATCTGGCAGCTGCTGCCCAATAAGCTCAGCTGGCGCCCTGGCCTTTTGTTATGCCACGTTGTTCTATGTAGATTGTGAATCAGCCCGGCGAATGTTCAGAAAAGCCGCAGCACGTCAACCGCAACATTTGTTCAAACCTGCTGGGCTTGTGCGCAACACCTTATGCCACATCGGCTGCACTAGACGTGTCGCAATAAACTGCGGCCAGAGAGCAGTATAGATGCCTTCTAGAAGGCGGTTCGCGGCCAATTTCCTCTTCTCAGGGTCTCTGGTAAACTTGTGTGTGACAGGTCTTGAAGGCGCTGAGCACAAGCTATTATTGTGTTCTATGGCATGTCCTTCCATCGTCAGCCAGGCTAGACCGATCCTGCCCCATGTGTCGCGGCCCGCCCTTATGTGGCCAGTTGTTGCTCACGTGCCTTTGGAGTTTCGAGCGGGGCAGCCTCACAGACTTCAAGGGCACTGTTACTAAAGTTTTGGCTGACATGCCATGTAATACGAGAGAAAACAAAGCGCTCCCCCTTCTCAGCCGCTTCTTCCCTGCTGCCGCCGTGCAAGGTATCTGCATCACGCGCCCTTGTGGTTTCTCAGAGCCGGCTATGTCTTCATGCTCTATGTGTTATAGACTGCAGCTATGTTGGGTTATGTTGGGTTGATTGTGAGCAGAAGGGAGCTTACAGTGGGGCTGTTGTTGCTTGCTTCTGATGCTCGAAGCTCAAGCTACCAAAGCCGCCCAAACCACCGGAATCCAAGAACATCGTGAACATCAGGTTGAGGTGATTCTGCCGCTTTGCGCCTTCTGGGGAGGAGCGCCCCGCTACATCGCTGCCTGCGGACTGCGGCTTGGCAGTATGTGTCGTTTAGGGCCTTGGGGTGTGTTTTGTGGCTTCGTCTGCGTTTCCGGTCGCAAGCATGCAGGATGCTGGTCGCCTGGTGAAGGGTCTGAGGATTTTTTGACCCGGTACGGTAGCGCCAAAGCTCGAGACTCAAGACGGAGCCTGTTGTCATCGTGCACCCTGCCCTACCGCCTACCAGGTAGTTTGTGGAGTTCGCTTCAAGGGGAAGCTCAGGTGGAATGACTGTTGCCCAAGAGCTACTGTAACGAATGCCGCAGACTTCAGAGTCCAGGGCACACATGCGCCGGATGGACGGGCACGTCTAAAGCCGTAAGAGACACGAATCATGGAGGCCTAAATTGCGATACTCAGGATCGCGCTGATGTTCGGCATCTACATGACAGGCGCGAGTTTCGTTCTCATTAAACGTGCACCCAGAGACGGACGTCTGGGAGAGAATTTTATTGAAGATATCTGGCGAATGTCTTGGCGTGGCACGGCAAACAATTGCACATCGGGTGCCTGCTAGGATCCCAGCATCAGTGCCATCTGTAGTATTATTGGCTGTATATCTGCAAATAGTAAGTCGTCAATAGTCGTCATATTCCTAGTGCTGGTAGCTGCACCTGCTGAGACCCCGCTAAGAGTTTCGTTTCCCACCCAATCCCGACGGAACGGCGAGTGATCCAAGCAAGGGGCGAACGTATACTGCAATCTGAACCGAGCACGAGGGGACAAGTGGATTCGGCGCAAATTGCTTCACACTGTTTCCCCCTCCTCCGCTGTTCGCCAGAGACATGAGCATGTCACTTGTGTGCTCTGGGCTCCCGTTCTGATGGTTAACTGCAATCTGACCCCCAGCAGCTTTTTCATGCTTCTGGCTCGTTCGCATATTAGTTGGGATGCCGCGCAAGCTGCGAGAGATACTCCTGCACCAGAAATTTGCAGTCCGCCGCAGTGTCTGGCAGGAAACTGGGGCGCCTTCAACTTCGGAGCTTGGTCTGCCAAGGGAGTGCGGGAGAGCTCGTTAGGTTGCCGGGTGGAGGATGGGAGAATTTCGATTTTCGGGCCGTCAGAGAAACATGCCGATCTTCCATCCTGCAGATTCGTCTCGCATGTTGGCAACAGCATGTTGGGTTTCTGGTCCACCGGAAAGTAGTTGGTGCGGTGCATCTGCAAGGATATGCCATCGTCTGCGTCGGCTTGTTCGACCTGGATGTGGCGGCTGAGCTTGGCATTACTACTGAGTCATCTGTTCGCCTTCTGCTTGGCGTGACTCATTGATTCATTCGCGGACCCCCCCAGAGGTCCACACCACCATGACCTCACACAATCTGCCCGTGTCATGTCATGTCATGTCATGTCATGTCATGTCATGTCATGTCATGTCATGTCATGTCATGTCACTCGCACACGAAAGGCATATTCGAGCTTCTTCTCTGCCAGAGAGCTGGGCGACTGCTTCTGGTCGGATATCCTTCTTCGCCCACTGATGACGGCTTTTTGGAAGCATAGTGGAAGCGTTCTGATGGCAAGTATGTCCACTGCAAGTTCTCTCTTGTAGAAGTAGAGAGGTAGCACCTCAATAGGGTTGCTTCCTGTTTGCATAGCTACAGTCTACAAATGACATATGATCATATATACTACTCACGTGCATCACATCAAGTGTCATATCGAATCGGTGATTTTGAGGGGCCCAGAGACGCACAATGCTGTGCTCCTCGCTTCATCGCAAGTTTTGGCGTGGCTCAGTCCTGAGCCCTGATCCTGATGAGCGAGCCTTCGTTACCTCTCACAGATGTTTGAAGAGATCTTGCTGCACACGCAACACGCAAAAGGCAACCATGCAGTCCAGTTATTAGATAATGCACCGCAAAGCAGTCAGCATGATTCTTGGATGGCTCAAAGTTTTCCCG